ACACCTGCACCTGGGCTTCACAGGGTGATGGTCAACACCTGCACCTGGGCTACACAGGGTGATGGTCAACACCTGCACCTGGGCTTCACAGGGTGATGGTCAACACCTGCACCTGGGCTTCACAGGGTGATGGTCAACACCTGCACCTGGGCTTCACAGGGTGATGGTCAACACCTGCACCTGGGCTTCACAGGGTGATGGTCAACACCTGCACCTGGGCTTCACAGGGTGATGGTCAACACCTGCACCTGGGCTTCACAGGGTGATGGTCAACACCTGCACCTGGGCTACACAGGGTGATGGTCAACACCTGCACCTGGGCTTCACAGGGTGATGGTCAACACCTGCACCTGGGCTTCACAGGGTGATGGTCAACACCTGCACCTGGGCTACACAGGGTGATGGTCAACACCTGCACCTGGGCTACACAGGGTGATGGTCAACACCTGCACCTGGGCTTCACAGGGTGATGGTCAACACCTGCACCTGGGCTTCACAGGGTGATGGTCAACACCTGCACCTGGGCTTCACAGGGTGATGGTCAACACCTGCACCTGGGCTACACAGGGTGATGGTCAACACCTGCACCTGGGCTTCACAGGGTGATGGTCAACACCTGCACCTGGGCTACACAGGGTGATGGTCAACACCTGCACCTGGGCTACACAGGGTGATGGTCAACACCTGCACCTGGGCTTCACAGGGTGATGGTCAACACCTGCACTTGGGCTTCACAGGGTGATGGTCAACACCTGCACCTGGGCTTCACAGGGTGATGGTCAACACCTGCACCTGGGCTACACAGGGTGATGGTCAACACCTGCCCTGGGCTACACAGGGTGATGGTCAACACCTGCACCTGGGCTTCACAGGGTGATGGTCAACACCTGCACCTGGGCTTCACAGGGTGATGGTCAACACCTGCACCTGGGCTTCACAGGGTGATGGTCAACACCTGCACCTGGGCTTCACAGGGTGATGGTCAACACCTGCACCTGGGCTACACAGGGTGATGGTCAACACCTGCACCTGGGCTTCACAGGGTGATGGTCAACACCTGCACCTGGGCTACACAGGGTGATGGTCAACACCTGCACCTGGGCTTCACAGGGTGATGGTCAACACCTGCACCTGGGCTTCACAGGGTGATGGTCAACACCTGCACCTGGGCTTCACAGGGTGATGGTCAACACCTGCACCTGGGCTACACAGGGTGATGGTCAACACCTGCACCTGGGCTACACAGGGTGATGGTCAACACCTGCACCTGGCTTCACAGGGTGATGGTCAACACCTGCACCTGGGCTTCACAGGGTGATGGTCAACACCTGCACCTGGGCTTCACAGGGTGATGGTCAACACCTGCACCTGGGCTACACAGGGTGATGGTCAACACCTGCACCTGGGCTTCACAGGGTGATGGTCAACACCTGCACCTGGGCTACACAGGGTGATGGTCAACACCTGCACCTGGGCTTCACAGGGTGATGGTCAACACCTGCACCTGGGCTTCACAGGGTGATGGTCAACACCTGCACCTGGGCTTCACAGGGTGATGATCAACACCTGCACCTGGGCTACACAGGGTGATGGTCAACACCTGCACCTGGGCTACACAGGGTGATGGTCAACACCTGCACCTGGGCTTCACAGGGTGATGGTCAACACCTGCACCTGGGCTACACAGGGTGATGGTCAACACCTGCACCTGGGCTTCACAGGGTGATGGTCAACACCTGCACCTGGGCTTCACAGGGTGATGGTCAACACCTGCACCTGGTGAGTAACTCTAACACACAAACACTTATGATATTTATTAAAGGAAACTTTTCGACGTGAGTGACATCATTAGTCTTAATGATGAAGGACTGTTGGAAATAAATGGTATAAAATACGTGTCTTTTTACTGTCTGTGACTTGATAAAGCCCACTGTGTGGGCGAAACGTTGTCAATAAAGAATCACTGCTTATGTGTTTATATTTCCATGAAGGAAGGATGAAGCCAAGCGTGGCGAAATGTTTCTGTTAATAAATGCTATTTATGAACCACTGTATCTCCCCACCGTATGTGTCGTCTTACTGTACGTATGTGTCGTCTTACTGTACGTATGTATCGTCTTACTGTACGTATGTGTCGTCTTACTGTACGTATGTGTCGTCTTACTGTACGTATGTGTCGTCTTACTGTACGTATGTGTCGTCTTACTGTACGTATGTGTCGTCTTACTGTACGTATGTGTCGTCTTACTGTACGTATGTGTCGTCTTACTGTACGTGTGTGTCGTCTTACTGTACGTATGTGTCGTCTTACTGTACGTATGTGTCGTCTTACTGTACGTATGTGTCGTCTTACTGTACGTATGTGTCGTCTTACTGTACGTATGTGTCGTCTTACTGTACGTGTGTGTCGTCTTACTGTACGTGTGTGTCGTCTTACTGTACGTGTGTCGTCGTCTTACTGTACGTATGTGTCGTCTTACTGTACGTATGTGTCGTCTTACTGTACGTATGTGTCGTCTTACTGTACATATGTGTCGTCTTACTGTACATATGTGTCGTCTTACTGTACGTATGTGTCGTCTTACTGTACGTATGTGTCGTCTTACTGTACGTATGTGTCGTCTTACTGTACGTATGTGTCGTCTTACTGTACGTATGTGTCGTCTTACTGTACGTGTGTCGTCGTCTTACTGTACGTATGTGTCGTCTTACTGTACGTATGTGTCGTCTTACTGTACGTATGTGTCGTCTTACTGTACGTATGTGTCGTCTTACTGTACGTATGTGTCTTCCTATTGTACGTGTCTTCTTACCGTACGTGTGTTTTTACTGTACACACGTTTTACTGTACGTGTCTCTCTTCAGCGTCCTACCCGATCAAAGGAGTCTTTGATCCCGATGAGGGTTCTTCATGTAAGGAATCAGACAACAATCGTTCCAATTCCTTGAATCAAGCCTGAATGCCTTCCACTGCCACAGACGCTGTATGACCTCCACAGGTTTATCGCTCCCTCCACCCTCCATGAATGTAATACAGTTTTGTACATCTTGTTGGTATCACCATACAACCTTGTTATGTATGTTACACCTCTGCTATTATTGTGCACTATAATTTTCCGTGGTAATTAACATTTATGAACGCAATCTACAAAAAAAAATACTCCACACAGTCCACCACCTTTTCAACAAAGTAATTATCTCTCGTAAACTGTAATAATGACATGTACCCACATGTCATACGTGTTAGTAATTCAGGTACTTACGTGTAGAAATGACAGGGGAGGGGATGGGAGGGGAGGGGAGGGGAGGGGAGGGTAAGGTTGGGTAGGGTACGGTAGGGTAGGGTTGGGTTTGGTAGGGTAGGGTTTGGTAGGATCGGGTAGGGTAGGGTAGTGGAAATAAATGGTATAAAATACCGACACAATGGCAATATAAACACAAATGCAGTATAATGTGATCCTTTATTGACTACGTTTCGCCCACACAGTAGGCTTTTTCAAGTCACAAACAGTTCTGTTTGTGACTTGAAAAAGCCTACTGTGTGGGCGAAACGTAGTCAATAAAGGATCACATTATACTGCATTTGTGTTTATATTGCCAGGGTAGGGTAGTGTTGGGTCGGGTAGGGTTGGGTAAGGTAGGGGAGGGGAGGAGCGAAGAGGGGCGAGAGAAGAGGAGAGGGGAGGATGTCTGTGAAGGCTGGCAGGGAGATATGACCCCTAGTGTGAGAATAATTCCCGGGTAATATGAATTTTTGTTCACGTCGTGTTTTCAATGCCACTTCTCATCCATAATTGTCTATATTCATTTTCAGTAAATTTGTCAATTAGATATATGTTGAAAGCCTAGAAACTGTTAAGGACAGGTCTCTCACCAGGAGCTTTATCAATTCATTCAATGGATTTAAAATTTCCTGGTCAGCTAAACATTGCACAGGTCTCTAATTTATACATTTGATGTTATTATATGTAGGAACATAAGAAAGAAGGAACACTGCAGCAGGCCTACTGGCCCATGTGAGGCAGTTCTAAGTCATCTACCGGCCTAAGCCACTGACCCAAGCTAGTCAGGTCCAACTCACACCCATCTACACCCACTCATAAGAACATAAGAAAAGAGGAACAATGCAGGAGGCCTGTTAGCCCATACTGGGCAGGTCCTTAACTAATCCAACCCACTAACAACATTTGCCCACCCACTTCAGTTTTACCCTAACAATAAGCTCTGATAAATCCACTAACTCGTGTGCAAGTCCCACTTAAATCCAACCCCTCTCACCTAAATTTGAAACTACCCAAGGTTTTAGCTTCAATAACATAAGAACATGATAAATTAGACACATGTGCAACACTTGGGTATCTTTAATGAGGAAACGTTTCGCCACACAGTGGCTTCATCAGTTCATACATAAGAGAATAGTGAAGAACAGGAGGATTTTGAGGTGATCAGTCCCTCAGCCTTGAGTTGATGTAATCAGTCCATCAAGATTGATGGACTGAGTACCAGGATTTGTTCCACTCATCCACAACTTTAATACCAAACCAGTGCTTTCCTATATCCTTCCTGAATCTGAATTTTTCCAACTTTAAACCATTGCTGCGAGTACTGTCCTTTTATTTATTCCGGTTTTCAATTTATACACCTCAATCATATCCCCATAATTATACGCCTTTCTAGAGAGTGCAGAGTCAGGGCCATCAGTCTTTCCTCATAGAGAAGATTTCTGACACATGGGATCAACTTTGTCATCCTCTTTTGTACGTTTTCCTGTGCACTTAAATTCATTCTGTAATACGGTGACCAGAACTGAGCAGCATAATCTAAATGAGGCCTAACCAAGGATATATAGAGTTGAAGAACAACATGAGGACTACTGTTATTTATACTTCTTGATATGAAGCCAAAAATTCTGTTCGCTTTATTGCAAACACTTAAGGAGTATCACGGGGGCGGGAGTGGGAGTCCATATACACAATATCATACATTACCATCTTGTGTGATACTTAGATTTATAAAATCGTATTTACCAAACATTATGGTTTAATATGCATTTTTTAAAATTTGACACGCACAATAAAAATGAATACAGTAGAAAACAGAGTAACGAGTAATGGTCTAAACCAGGATTTTATTTTTGTAACAAAGACAGTGCTGTATGAAACTGACCCCAATAAGAGTGAAGTAGGAGAGGTGATGGTCCTTCTCAGTCTCTCCATGGTAATAGACGAGGAAGCTACCAACCTGTAATTACAATTTTGTTATGAGGCTTCTACTTTAACCTTGTACAGAAAGTTGTTCACATAATAGTCATGCCAAACAATAATTACGATTTTTTCCCTGTCATGGAAGACAAATGCTTCCTCAATATTCGGAAGCAAATATTTTACAAAGCAGAAATGTTATAAGAAGAGCAGAGTATATGGAGGTGAAGAGAATGGTGACAGAGTGCAAAGAGAGCTGATGTTAGAGTGGGAGAGGCACTGTCGAGAAATTTTAATGAAAATAAGAAAAAAAAGCTGGAGTGAGATAAACATGTTAAGAAAACCTAGGGAACGAATGGATTTGTCAGTTAAAAAGAGTAGTGGAATTAGTAGATGCGGAACTGGAGGTATTGGGTAGATGGCGGGAATATTTTGAGGAACTTTTAAATGTTGATGAAGAAGGGGAGGCTGTAATTTTATGCACTGGTCAGAGAGGTATAACATGTTTTAGGAGTGAAGAAGAGCAGGATGTGAGTGTGGGGAAGGTGCGTGAGGTATTACGTAGAATGAAAGGGGGTAAAGCAGCAGGAACTGACGGGATTATGACAGAAATGTTAAAATCAGGGAGGGAGGGAATAATGTTGGAGTGGTTGGTATTTTTGTTTAATAAATGTATGAAAGAGGGGAAGGTACCTAGGGATTGGCAGAGAGTATGTATAGTCCCTTTATATAAAGGGAAGGTACCTAGGGATTGGCAGAGAGCGCGTATAGTCCCTTTATATAAAGGGAAGGGGGACAAGAGAGACTGTAAAAATTATAGTGTTATAAGTTTACTGAGTATACCAGGAAAAGTGTACGGTAGAGTTATTATTGAAAGAATTAGAGGCAAGACAGAGTAGGATTGCGGATGAGCAAGGAGGTTTCAGAGTGGGTAGGGAATGTGTAGATCAAGTGTTTACATTGAAGCATCTATGTGAACAGTATTTAGATAAAGGTAGGGAAGCTTTCACTGCATTTATGGATTTAGAAAAGGCATATGATAGAGTGGATAGAGGAGCAATGTGGCAGACCATACCCCCGGCCGGGATTGAACCCGCGGTCATAGTGTCAAAACTCCAGCCCGTCGCGTTAGCCACTAGACCAGCTAGCCACAATAAGATTCATCCAACTAGGTATATTTCTACACCATAGGAAGGTTAGCACAGGCACCTCTGTGACCACAAATGCAAGTTTTTACAGACGAATCTCCAGCTAGCGTGGCCGTGACGAACTCTAGCTCAAGTCCCTTCACTGCATTTGTGGTCACAGAGGTGCCTGTGCTAACCTTTCTATGGTGTAGAAATATACCTAGTTGGATGAATCTTATTGTGGCTAGCTGGTCTAGTGGCTAACGCGACGGGCTGGAGTTTTGAGACTATGACCGCGGGTTCAATCCCGGCCGGGGGTATGGTTTGTTTGCAATCGTGTCTTTACGATTTCTTGAGTCAATGTGGCAGATGTTGCAAGTATATGGAATAGGTAGTCACCCTGCCTAGATGGGAGACGGCCGACTTGTTGAGAGAAAAAAAAATTATATATATATATATATATATATATATATATATATATATATATATATTATATATATATATATTATATATATATAGGATGGGGTCCACCTCTGGTGTAAATTGTGGGACCCATAGCCTCGGAAAAGTGGATAAAAAGGCTTCAAGGATAAATATTTGGATTTCTTCCTGAAGCCGTTTGAATATTCCAATATATATATATATATATATATATATATATATATATATATATATATATATATAATGCAACATTCCCCAATGAAAAGCAAGGGTGCCACGAGTACACAGAGACAATGCAGTAAGTGCCAGGGGCCTCAAAACTGTTCAACTGCTAACAAACCATACCACGGGTGGGGTTTGAACCCGCGGTCAGAGTCTGAAAACTCCAGACCGTTGCGTTAGCCACTGGGCCAGCTAGCTTCAATAAGATTTATCCAACTAGGTATATTTCTACACCATAGGAAGGTTAGCATAGGCACCACTGTGACCACAAATGCAAGTTTTACAGACGAATCTCCCGCTAGCATGGCCGTGACGAACTCTAGCTCAAGTCCCCTCAAAGCCATCAACATGACTCACGAAATCGTAATGGCACGATTGCAAACAAACCATACCACGGGTGGGGTTTGAACCAGCGGTCAGTGTGTCTCAATACTCCAGACCGTCGCGTTAGCCACTGGGCCAACTAGCTTCTGACCACGGGTTCAAACCCACCCGTGGTATGGTTTGTTTGCAGTGGTCATTACAATTTCGTGAGTCATGTTCAGCTGCTCCCCAGCATACATAAGGGGGTTACCAACAGACCCCTGGCTGTCTTCAAGAAGGTGCTGGACAGGCACCTAAAGTCGGTGCCTGACCAGCCGGGCTGTGATTCGTACGTCAGTTTGCATGGCCAGCAGTACCAGCCTAGTTAATCAGACCTTGATCCACCACGAGGCCTGGTCTCAGACCGGGCCGCGGGGGCGTTGACCCCCGAAACCATAATATATATATATATATATATATAGTGCTAGTCACAGCATTATGCCGGGTGAGCACCCTGACATAATGGCATGACAAAAATCAAAAGCCTACCATACAGGGGAGGGTCTTTTCTTTGTCAGTGCATTAAGCTGGGTAACAGCCGTTAGCATGACGTCAGGGCCTGCAGCCACACTCCACAGTGACTCCTCAGTGCTCACGTGGCTGCTGTGGTGAGAGAAAGTGTTGCACTTTTGTCTCTCATCCTCCCCATCTTTTGTCTGGTGTTCCCTTTGGTTTTGGGGCTATACATGTTTGATTATGGGTAAAAGGAAGTCTTTAATACCTGAAACTATAGCTCAAATCATAGGGCTTCACAAAGCTGGGCACCAGACGAAAGAAACAGAGAATGTTGATGTGTGTGAGCGTTCAGTGAAGAACTGGGTGCAGCGTTTCAAGACTGGTGGCTGTGTCAAGTTATCGTCTGCAAACCTCGGCCTGGCGCCTCGAAGACGACATCTGCTTGTACCTTAACTGTGTTGAAGCAGTTAGAGAGTACACCTAAGATAACTGCTAAGATAATGTGTCAGAACTGGGCTACAGTAGTCACTGCCAGGTTAAGAAATCAATCCTCTCCAAGCCACAGAAGAAACGTAGGCTGGATTATGCAAAGAAATATCTTCATTGGAATCCTCAACAGTGATCTGAAGTACTTTGGAGTTATGAAGCAACCTTCACCGTCGCCTGTAACCGTGGAGGACATGTGTGCCAGCCCAGAGGTAGCGACCCACTAGACCCATGCTACACCTGTGGGACCACCAGACACCCAGACTCGCTCATGGTTTGGGGGGGGGGGGGGCTTCAGTACTCAGAGTGTTGAACTCATTGTGCTTCCCAAAAACCAGTACATGTATATGAACCAGTATGATTACCTGGAGTTATTGTGTGACAATTTACCTGAGGCATTAGACAAGTGTGGGGCTACTGTTTTTATGCAGGACGGTGTACAGTGTCATACTGCCAAATCTGTAGTTCAGTGGCTTAAGGACTGTGAAGTGAGGTTCTTTAATGACTGGCCAGGCAATTCCCCAGACCTAAACCCTATTGAGAACCTCTGGTCAATAGTGAAACGAAGTTTACTGGGCAAGGGCATCAATTTCATCCCACAGCTGGAGGCTGCTCTACACGAGGCATGGAATAACATACCTCCCCAAACCCTCAAGAATTTGTGAGAGTCATCCTACATGTTCTTTGCCAATACCACCTTGACATTATACCATTCCCCATTCTTGCGATAAAATTTAATAGCCACTGACTATTATGTGTAGTGTAGCAAAGCCTTTTCGTGCGTCGTTTGTGGCCTCTTACGCCATTCAACTTTGTCCTCCCAAGCCAGACCAGTCATATACTCTTGATGCCACACACCTTTCCTGCTGGATCTAGCCTCGGCTTTTGCTTATATTTGCTATAAATAAGTTTATTTAGGCACAGGTACACATAAGTACAATTATAATATATAGTAACATGAGTAAATTATCTAGGATAACCCAAAAAGTCAGTGACTTTCCACTGGGGTGCGTGTTCATATATTCCAACTTCCCGCTCACCCTTCATGGGTCCCTACCTGTGGGTCAGTCTAATCTAGCGTAAACTAAGTTAAATAATGACAAGTCCAGTGTGTTATGGTGATAATCATTAAGATGGGAATAAACCTTTTCTTATAGAAAGTACAGCAATATTGAAGTGATGTTTAGACACTGACCTTGGCCTTGGGTACGTACTCCTTCCTGCAGGGATGCTCACGTATCTTCAGTAGTGTGGCTCTTGAGAGTTCCTTCTCTAGGAACAATTCGTAGGAATCAGCGGTCAGACTGCAGGTAAACAAAATACAATTTATATCCAAATCTTTTAACCTGATGGTTTGGAAGTGTGTGCGAGATTTTCAGTTAAAAGTGATGAATCCGTCTTGAAAAAAAGAGAAAATGTTGTAATCTGTTCAAAAAACATGAACACTGGAAACGATAACCCTAAGAGTTATTAGCCAGTTATTAAAGTATTATATAAAATAAATAATTACCAAATGTATAACAGCCCCTTTTATACTTTTACTTACTATGAAACATTTAGTTTGGCTTTGGGATCTGTGTTAAGTGCCCGGCGGTCGAAGTAAGCTGCCTGCTCCCAGCCAGTGACATGGACTCCACCACTGCCATCATGCATGGTCCGTGGTACCTCTGGTGTCACAACATCCCGCTGGTGTTGCACCAACCCTCGCAGGAACCAGTCCCAATCCACACCCTGCGAGGACACCACTATTATATACTACAAAACTACCTTGCTGCATTATAATATTAGGGGAAGAGGAGAACACGCACTCCCTTATGTTCACACAGTTATGCAGATAATATATACATTCATAATGAAGATAGACCGTTTCAATAAAGGAACAAGGAACACATGTGGAAGCTAAGTAAGTTAATTCAGGTATACACAAATACAGTTACATAGATTATCATACATGCCAGCATTTGTGTAGAGAACATAGGATAACCCCCAAAAAAGTCAGTTATTTATTTCCATTGGGGTCCTTTTAATACCTTCTTATTATACTATAAAGGAGATAATATCATCTTATTATTATACTATAGAGATATACTAGGAATAAGGTAAAATGAGTTATTTATATTTACAAGTGTGTTAGCTAAAAAAAAAAAAAATCATTGTCCTCCCTTTCTGTCGCTACATTCATTAGGCACCTTTTGGCTCTCTTCCTGAACTGGTTCATGCTATGACTGGCTTTGGCATGTACAGGCAGTCTGTTCCATTCCTTTATTGCTGTACAACAAAAGGTGTTTGAAGCCTGGCCACTGACTGTGGGAACTATATAGTTGTGCTCTCTCCCCCGAGTACAATGACCGCTTTGGTTCCCAGCCTTGATAAAATTGGCAGCAAAATATTCTGAACACTGTTTGTGAGGAGTTTTATAAACTTGATTTAACTTCAGTTGTTTTAATGTCTTCAACATTCAGCATATCTGTTTGTTGTAATTCATCCTGGCCTATATGGTCTATCTTTCAGTTCTTTTTTTTTTTTTTTTTTGTCGCGGCAAGAGTACTATGAAGAGCAAGCGTAGTCCATATGACACTGTATAAGGGCTAGACATAGGGTCCTGCGAGCCTCAGTAGGTAGACACTGCTTTCTGTAGAGGAACTTCAGTCTGGCATTCACTTTCTTTACTACACTGTTCCCTATTAATTCTCCTGACATGAATGGGTTAAAGGGGATTCCCAGATATTTTACTGAGGAAACTGAAGTGATGGGTTCCCCATTACACCGGACATTTACTTTATTTGTCCTTCTCAGTTTATGTTTCGTGCCAAAGAGTATGGCTTCCGTTTCCGAAGATGTAACGATAGTTTGTCTACTAACCATTTGCCGCAGGACTCCAGTTCCAGTGTTATTACATTAGCTATATCTTGTGGGTCTTTACCCGACACTAACAGAGCACTGTCATCCGAATACAGGAGTAGTTTGCATTTGACACTGATGGGCATGTCGTTTACATAACATAGGAATAATAAGGGACCCAGAATACTACATTGGTGAACTCCACATGCTATCGGCAGGGGTTCTGATTCTGTTTTGTTGATTTTGACAATTTGTTTCTTGTTGTTAAGATAGAACTTAAACCAGACTACGGAACCTATGCCGATAGCTTGAAGTTTCTTACATAATATATTGTGGTTGACAGTATCGAAGGCCTTTTGCAAGTCTAAGGTTACTATTCCTATGAGGTTCCCCATCGACATTTCAGTTCTCATGTAATCCAGAAGTCAGGAAGTATATATTTAGTTACAAAACTATGAGGTGGAATAAGTTGGACGAGGAAGTGGTAAATACAAACTCAATATACAGTAGATGTGATAAGGACAAAGTGACCAGGAATTAGTAATGCCAATCAGTTATTTCGGAGGCGGAGCCATGAACAGTCTCGACCAGGTCAGGATCAAGGGTTGCGAGGGGTACCATGGCTAGCAACTTGTGGGGGGTTCTGCTATTAAAACTTCATGTCATAATATGTACTAGTGTTATACCATAACATGTCAATTATCTTTGTTTTCCCTATAAAAAAAACTGAACTTATTTGAAAAGTAACATAAAATCATCATATGTTTGTGCCCATATTGGCCAGAACCCTGATCTATGTGGGAGACACTTGTGTAGAGGTTAGCGCTCTTAACTTCATTGATGATTCCCATTTTTTGTTACACTGTCTAGTCAATCTAGCAGAAAAAAACATATTCAACCTAGAACTAATTGAAAAAAAAATTATTGGTGAATACTTCAGAAGTATTATATCCAAAATGAAGCCAGGTGGACTTGGTGAAACATAATTAAAATGAACTTTACACCGTCACTAATTACATGCTTATTAGAATCGTTTTAATAACTGCTGCAATGAAAATTAAAAAATACTGTATGAATATTTTGTGAAACATTAGCAGAGAAACTTGGTTAGTGTACATGTGAGAAATATTCACATTATGCATGTTGTGTACACAACATGCATAATGCTATATATTATGTGCATTACCAGCATGGTACCATATGAGCATAACCAGCATGGTACCGTATATTATGAGCATAACCAACATGGTACCATATGAGCATAACCAGCATGGTACCGTATATTATGAGCATAACCAGCATGGTACCATATATTATGAGCATAACCAGCATGGTATCATATATTATGAGCATAACCAGCATGGTACCATATATTATGAGCATAACCAGCATGGTACCATATGAGCATAACCAGCATGGTACCGTATATTATGAGCATAACCAGCATGGTACCATATATTATGAGCATAACCAGCATAGTACCATATATTATGAGCATAACCAGCATGGTACCATATGAGCATAACCAGCATGGTACCGTATATTATGAGCATAACCAGCATGGTGCCGTATATTATGTGCATAACCAGCATGGTACCATATGAGCATAACCAGCATGGTACCATATGAGCATAACCAGCATGGTACCGTATATTATGAGCATAACCAGCATGGTACCATATGAGCATAACCAGCATGGTACCATATGAGCATAACCAGCATGGTACCGTATATTATGAGCATAACCAGCATGGTACCATATGAGAATAACCAGCATGGTACCGTATATTATGAGCATAACCAGCATGGTACCGTATATTATGTGCATAACCAGCATGGTACCATATATTATGTGCATAACCAGCATGGTACCATATGAGCATAACCAGCATGGTACCATATGAGCATAACCAGCATGGTACCGTATATGAGCATAACCAGCATGGTACCATATATTATGTGCATAACCAGCATGGTACCATATGAGCATAACCAGCATGGTACCGTATATTATGAGCATAACCAGCATGGTACCATATATGTGCATAACCAGCATGGTACCATATGAGCATAACCAGCATGGTACCGTATATTATGAGCATAACCAGCATGGTACCATATATTATGTGCATAACCAGCATGGTACCATATGAGCATAACCAGCATGGTACCGTATATTATGAGCATAACCAGCATGGTACCATATATTATGTGCATAACCAGCATGGTACCATATGAGCATAACCAGCATGGTACCGTATATTATGAGCATAACCAGCATGGTACCATATATTATGTGCATAACCAGCATGGTACCATATGAGCATAACCAGCATGGTACCGTATATTATGAGCATAACCAACATGGTACCATATGAGCATAACCAGCATGGTACCGTATATTATGAGCATAACCAGCATGGTACCATATGAGCATAACCAGCATGGTACCATATATTATGAGCATAACCAGCATGGTACCATATGAGCATAACCAGCATGGTACCGTATATTGAGCATAACCAGCATGGTACCGTATATTATGAGCATAACCAGCATGGTACCATATGAGCATAACCAGCATGGTACCGTATATTATGAGCATAACCAGCATGGTACCGTATATTACGAGCATAACCAGCATGGTACCATATGAGCATAACCAGCATGGTACCATATGAGCATAACCAGCATGGTACCATATGAGCATAACCAGCATGGTACCGTATATGAGCATAACCAGCATGGTACCATATATTATGAGCATAACCAGCATGGTACCGTATATTATGAGCATAACCAGCATGGTACCATATATTATGAGCATAACCAGCATGGTACCGTATATTATGAGCATAACCAGCATGGTACCATATATGAGCATAACCAGCATGGTACCGTATATTATGAGCATAACCAGCATGGTACCATATATTATGAGCATAACCAGCATGGTACCATATGAGCATAACCAGCATGGTACCGTATATGAGCATAACCAGCATGGTACCATATATTATGAGCATAACCAGCATGGTACCGTATATTATGAGCATAACCAGCATGGTACCATATATTATGAGCATAACCAGCATGGTACCGTATATTATGAGCATAACCAGCATGGTACCATATATTATGAGCATAACCAGCATGGTACCGTATATTATGAGCATAACCAGCATGGTACCATATATTATGAGCATAACCAGCATAGTACCGTATATTATGAGCATAACCAGCATGGTACCATATATTATGAGCATAACCAGCATGGTACCATATGAGCATAACCAGCATGGTACCGTATATGAGCATAACCAGCATGGTACCATATATGAGCATAACCAGCATGGTACCGTATATTATGAGCATAACCAGCATGGTACCGTATATTATGAGCATAACCAGCATGGTACCATATATGAGCATAACCAGCATGGTACCATATGAGCATAACCAGCATGGTACCGTATATTATGAGCATAACCAGCATGGTACCGTATATTATGAGCATAACCAGCATGGTACCATATATTATAAACATACATTAAAATTAACAGCGACTAACAGATAAGTTCGCTTGTTATGGCAAACTATCCAAGAGAGAAACGGTTGTTTCTACTGCAAATATAACATTGTAAAGTTGGTCAGCGTTGTACTTGAAGGATAAGGAGAGTTTTCATGCTACTGTACATTCCAGAAAATGCTTCCTTTTTTCTTTAGGTAGGTACACTGTTCGGTACATAGTTTCATATCACAATCCGTTTTGTAATTGCGTTTGATCACCTTCAGTAGAGCTTCTGGAGGTGGTGATAAATTTGTTTATCGTGATTCAGGTCGACCATTGACCAATATGTATTAACAAATCTTTAGTATCCCAGAATGTCAGTATTCCCTGGTGATAAATTAGAAAAACACAAATGTGATGGGCTGGTGCAACTGTCGCTAGCAGTGCGAACCTACACAGACTAAGTGCTTAAAGAAACTTTCTAGAAATCACGGGTACTCGATGCATCCAGTCTTCACGTGGGGTACCAATGAAGCATCACATGGCCATGGCAGTCAGAATACTGAACCACCATCAGGCATCCACTGTACTTCATTTCTCCCTCGAGTAGCTTCAAAGGCCTGGCCCACTGATGTAAGCTTACATCTCTCTTCTTTACAGTGAATAATGCTCTTTAAAAGAGTTGTAAGGTCAGTAGTAAGAGCTTCATACTCTCTTTTAAAGAAAATATTGTCACGAGAGGGGTGCATGTAATTTGAAGTATCTATGCATGTCTTATCTCTGAAGAGAGTTGTAGCTGTCTTCACGATCAGCATTTTTTTGTATATTGTCACTGTCAGTTTCGGTACTTCGTGTAAAAAAAAAATAAAAAAATCGATAGTTGTTGCTGTTCTGAAAATTGTCACACTGGCCTTCCCTTGTATTATATTAATGACGAAGTTATCCTCGAAGTGCTAAACGATCTTTCTCTTTATACATTTAGCACTGTAGGCGTCATCACCGCATTATTCTTTCACGTGTACAGTATCACGAATGAATACTTTATCATCACCGTTTTCAGTCAACAGTTTGCCACGTTTTTTACTACTACTACTACTACTGGTACACAGTACTACTAGTACTACTACACAAGTTTCATTGGGTCGACCGAGCTGATATTTTTCATCATATTTTGTGAACTGGTAAGGTATGGGAAACAGTTTTTATAACTGGTAGCTTGTGTTGCATACTTGATGGTGAATAACATCTGCAGTGATCAAATCTTGCACAAATGCGACCCGACTTTCAACAATGATCCCAGTCGTCACTGCGTTCACTGCATATGAACTAAATGGTTGATTGGAAATCAGTATTTCTTATAGGGAAGACAACATAGCCTCTCCTCTTCCTTAATTATTTTGGAAGTTGACAGTAAGATATGCATTGTTTATTGAAAGTGCTATCATGTTAATAAGAACGAGCAATACGACTCGTTGAACATGGATGCAAGTTTTTTCTAAGTCACAATTGATACAGTTTTTGGATCCGGAGATTTTCTCACAGACGAACAGCGCCTTCCCGGTTTATTCCATTGTTTCCAGTTTCTCCAAATGCTACTTGCTAACCGTTCGCCAAAGGTTTCTTGTAGATCACACAGTCCATGTTCATCAACTCTGAACAGAAACAACAAGCCTGTCTTTCATGTTTCAACAATAAGTGAACCCAACAGGTTCGGGAGATATAATAGGACTCTGCCTGTTTTCTTTATTATTGTTTCAGTTATTTTGTTGGGGCGTTACGTAGTTTGTTGCACTGAGCAACTGTCATTTAAGGAAATATTTTGTAACCTTTACAACCCGGCGGGTCACCACCTGGGAAAGACCCGGGCCGAGACAAGACCGGCGAAGCTACTACTTTACAACTGATGATGAAGATATATCTTGTTATCTCACTATAGTAGTTATTCCAGCCACATATATGAACTGAATTGTAAATACAATTCTTATCCCAGTAAAATAAGACAAAATTGCATTTATTAGTTAAAATAACATGGAGTGTTCTAGACGAAACATTGTGTTATGTGTAACATGTCAAAACTCTCAACATTACTAACGTGACTTCTCTTGGGCCAGAGAGGAAGCACTTCCCGAGCCCAGCGGCGGTTCACCATCCAACCATAAGCTGGCAGTATCTGCTCACGGTACAGGCGCGAAGTGTCCACAGCTGTCGGCTTAAAGCTATTGTAGTTAAAGGCATTCACACAGAAGATGGTCTCATCTGCGTCCAGCAATGGTGCTGTCTGATGGAAATAACTGGAAAAACAAACCACATCAACTATTTGTTACAAATTTTATATTTATTACTGAGCCCATGTAACGTTACTTCCTTTATTGTGGGTGTAGCAGCTACTTTATGTGCACTAGCAACTCATCCTGTGAGCGGTAACTCAAAAAGAAAAAAAGGATTACAGCGGTCATAAAGGAGTTTTATCAAATCCTGGTAAGGAAACAGTCATGTAGCGTTTAGATATTAGAACAGAGACATTCACTGATTACAATCTAATTTTGCTAATGTATATAGTTAACGCTAAATAAAGATAATCTCAGGATATCCGAGATATTTTCGTAAACAATGAAGAGTTGCAATTTTCTGTAGGATTTGTTTGAATGTACATATCTCTAAAGGGTTTATTTTTGGGGGGGTTGGGGGCTGATCTAAAATAAAGCGTTTTAGTGTATGGCCCTGTCTTTGTCCACACACTTGACTTCTCACACGACTAGACTATCCTAGCCTAGCAGTGATTATTACAGTAATAAAGCACTAATCCCACAAGGGTCATATAGCGCTACCGAGCTAGCTTAGCAGTGAGATCTTGTTGTCTACTCTCACCACACACATTTCTTATAATGAATAACAGATCTACTTCCAGTTCCTTCTGCTTCAAGTTTCTCTTTTAGTCATTTTCTCATAAGGGTCTTTATGGATTCCGTTTGACAGCTCAAAAAGATATACAGAGTATTCTTTAAAATCCTATGAATCCTTCTGACTTTCCTGTGCTAAAATTGACGTTCATTTTCATATTAAAATTTACGCTTTTCTCATCTGTGTATTTTCCACTTTTCTGTTTTCACTTTGCATTGCTAAATGTTCATTTATATTTTCAAGTTATTCTAGCTAAGGGAATTCTATTTAATAGCGATCTTCATGTGGTTTCTTCGCTTACCTACACATGTTACACATTAACTATTCAGCATCTCATTCTTAACCACAACCGCTGCTTTATCACCTTTCCAACTGCCCACTACCTCATCCACTTCCTCCACACACCTGAGAGTCATCGCTCCTTCTAGCACATCTTACTCTTTCCTTCCCCATGCATAAAATCTCCACTTCTTTTTAACATTTAAGAACAAAATATTCTTTCCATCTGTCCACATGGATATCAAACATTTCGCTGCTTTTGCTTTTAATTTCAAAGCCCATTTTGTTTCCCAGTCTTTCTCGCTCATCTCTCTCTCTCTCGCTCATCTCTCTCTCTCTCGCTCATCTCTCTCTCTCTCTCGCTCATCTCTCTCTCTCTCTCGCTCATCTCTCTCTCTCTCGCTCATCTCTCTCTCTCTCGCTCATCTCTCTCTCTCTCGCTCATCTCTCTCTCTCTCGCTCATCTCTCTCTCTCTCTCGCTCATCTCTCTCTCTCTCTCGCTCATTCTCTCTCTCTCTCGCTCATCTCTCTCTCTCTCGCTCATCTCTCTCTCTCTCGCTCATCTCTCTCTCTAAAACCGTTTTTTATTCTCAGCAAAATTCTGATAATTACTAACCCATTGTATAGCTTTTACAATAAAAAGTTTCATATATTAATTATTCTCCTTTATGTTTTCTTTACTTCGTCCTTCCACTAATCGTTCCTCTTTCCTCCCTCACCCACCATTCTATAACCACAAACCTCTGCTGCACATTCTCAACATGGCATTCTAAAATCCACAGTACTGTTACCTCCTCGACACTAATCGCCGTCATCCATTCTACCAAAACCTGATAATACCCATCACTAAGTCTTTTATTTAATTAATTTTCCTTCCTTCCACTTTCACCCACTGACATCATTTTCACTGTGGTGCATCTTTCTTCAGCTCTTACTCTGGCCACCTCTAAATAATGATCATCATATCAGTTACTAAAAAACGAAATGTATATCAAGGAATGTGTTTTCAACATTTATCCAAGACAGAATATTTTAGTAAGCTGCTAACTGCCCACTTCATCACACCTCACGTACGTACTTATTTATCTTCTTTTTATAACATGATTTACCTATTACCAAACTTAGCACAATTCATTAAAGGTCCCTCATTATCATATGCCCCTGGTACTTCAAATTATCCTATTATGCCCTTTACGACAATTTCTCGCTTGGTTCAAACTTCTCTAACCCTTCCCAGAATTTACCTTTCTACTAATTTAATCCTAATTTTTGAAGAAGTGGACCGGTACGCCAGCGGAAGGCCTCGGTCAGATAACCAAAAGCTCCAACGGTGGGTCATCACATAACTAAGACCCGCGTCAGGAAACACTTGTCCTGTTTCCTGACAAATCTTACTTAACCTTTCTACTCAACACCCTTCTCACCTCACATCCCGCTTACATTCTACACTGCATTAGTGCACTAGTCAACTGAATAATCAGAAAAACAATCCTAATACATTCATTCTGTATCTGGACCCTCTTCAGCATAGTGTAAAAAAACGTGGCTGTCCAGGCTGTGTAACACAGTTTATCCGTTTTGCATAAATTAAAGCAAATTGTATTGGCTTAACACAAAGCAAATCTTAAAGAAAGGTGCTCAGGCCTATTAACAACAGCCCTCTGTGGAAATTCTCTCCAAGATAATGGTGATGCCATGAAAATTAAAAATAAAATTAGTCACGGAATTAGTCGTGGCTCTTGTAACTACAACTCAGTGAGTTCACAGTAAACACCAGTGAAAATTCGGCCCTTGCAAGCACAGCTCTGAGTACACAGTGGAACACAGTAGTTTCACCTCACCTGATAAAGTCAGGAGCCAGGATTAGATCATCCTCTAGGATAATAATTTTATCAGCTGAAGGGAAGAAATTGAAAGCTTGGAAGATAGCGAACTTGATGTGTTCATTAATGCGGACCATGTCTCCAGGAGGGGCGGGGTTGTCATGGTACACTGCTGGCAGCCCAAGCACACTAGCGAAGTCTTTTGCTTCCTGCTGGTACCCATCCACTGCCAGCAGGATGGAGGTATTGCCGCCCCCTGCTTGTGTCCACAACTGCTGCACTTGCCTACAAGAACACACCAACATATTAATTATATTTCTAGTAGGATTTTTAGTATGTATGATGAGCAACAAGAAATGTATAGAATTAGACACGTGCAAAATCTGGGTATCTTTATTGTAGACGTTTCGCTATCCAGTGGTTTTATTAATACATTCAAGGACATAATGTGAAGACAGTAGAACTATATACAAAAGATGAGGTAATCAGTCCTTCAGCCTTGGAGCTGAAGAATACGTAGTCTACGGCACTCCAACTCCAAGGCTGAGGGACTCATTACCTCGTCTGTTGTATATACTTCCGCTGTCTTCACATTATGTCCTTGAATGTGTATTGACAAAGCCACTGGATGGCGAAACGTCTATAATAAAGATACCCAGATATTGCACACGTGTCTAATTCTTCATTCTGTCGGTATTGTACATCATACATGTACAACAGGAAATACTCCTAACGTACTTCGTCAAATATGACTTAAAACTAGAATTTTTATTTTATTAAACTATTTGCTGCTGTTCTGAATTATTTCCTCCATTTCAGAAATCAACACAAAATCACTAAAACCAACCATCGACAATTATTCGCATTCCACAAACCAAACCTATAAGTCAATCTAAGCCACTGAACGTAAACTGCGGCACCTTTTGATGAAAGGAGAAATATTTCCATCATTAATACCCAGAAAAAGACATCACTCTCTGGGAAGACTAGCGCGTCTTCCAGGACAAGAAGCGCACCTTTCCAATACACAAGCCCTCAAACACTACCACCTCAATTAGTGACTTATTTTTTTATTGAACAAAATTTAGAACATTCGAAGTATGCGGCTACTCTATTTTATATGTAACAGTTACAAAGTCCCCTTCAACCCTACATGCTCTAACCTGAACTTCACTCTCCAGATAAAAACGTCTTTACTGCTTTTAGTAACTTACTACTTATTTCATACATCCGCAGCATCTACCTCATATGTTTATGAACACGGTTATAAAACAAGTAAATGTTTAGAATATTAGGAGGCGGTGTGGGATTAATAGATAATGAACCTAATATGAAGTGGATATTGTCATAGTTGCTCGATGCCAATGACATTCTTATCTGGACATTCTGAAGAGAGGTTGCAAAGGTTAGTGGAGAAGTTTGGGAAGATGTACATTTGAATGGCACTGATATTATACTAGAAATCTATAAATACTGTAATACTTTACAAAATACGGGTTTAATTAGATTTTCCATGACCAACTGCACTATTCCTTCTGCATGGATTGAGGTAGAAGCGGCTAAACTTATGCAATGTGTGATATGTTGAGATTGCCTCCAATATTACCTGGAGTACAGTTGTGCAAGAAAGGTATAAAATACCGACAATATGAAAGTTAAGACACATGTGCAACATCTGGATATCTTTATTGTAGACGTTTCGCCATCCAGTGGCTTTATCAATACAGATTCTAGGACATAATTAGAAGACAGTAGAACTATATACAAAAGATGAGGTAATCAGTCCCTCAGTCTTGGAGTTAGTGTTTACAGCATCGTGGTGGTGGAGAATCTGGAGCAAAGGTAAGGAGATTGGCGGTTATATAGACGTCAGTGGATAGGGACGTGTAGCAGACGAGGGCATAGTCACTTTTGTATATAGTTCTACTGTCTTCTAATTATGTCCTAGAATCTGTACTGATAAAGCCACTGGATGGCGAAACGTCTACAATAAAGATATCCAGATGTTGCACATGTGTCTTACCTGGAGTATACCTGGAGAGAGTTTCGGGGGTCAACCCCCCGCTGTCCGGTCTGTGACCAGGCCTAGGTCACATAAGGTGACCAGTTTCTACCCGAGACTACAGTAGTTGGTGCTAATCTGGGTTATTAAGCCAAGTGATGAAGTCCCACGGGACGTGACCAAGTGTGGCGTGTGGAGCCTTTGTAATTTCTAGAGAGAACACCTGTCATGGTCTCTTAGACCTCTCTGTTTGAGAAGAGTGGTGGTTGGTAATCCTCAAACCCAAATCTTGTTAGTGGATTCTAACCTCTATGGAGGCCACATGTGGCGGTCTATATAAGCTCAGAGAAGTAGCTAAGAAAGGACTTTCGAGAGGCTTTTGCTGAGGGAAGAGCTGTGGCCGGGCGAGGAGACAGATGAGGCCAGTGCGGGGTCTTGAGAACTGTGGCTAGATGCTGGCTGGTCTCCTAGGACTGAGCTGTTCTAAGGACTATTCTGCAAGTGTATATTCGATCTCGTCAGCTAATTGTATTCCCCAGTCTCAATATTCTTGTATTATCCCCAGTTATGTTAATATCAGTCCCTTTCCTTTTTAACCAAGAATATTGTTATATAAATATTAATAAATTGTAATAGAATGGAATAACGTATTCACTGTCCCCGTCTTTGTTTTATTTTTATAAGGCTAAATCTAAGTGGAGGTGGGTAAAATCCACAGTTGATAGTAGTAATGGAAGGCGAGGCGGTGTAGTTGGCCGGTGCGCCGACGACGACTGTAGAGTGGGGTGAGCGGGGAAGTGGGGACAGATGAACAGCGCTGGAGAAGAATATCTTCAAGTGTAGAGAAAAAGCCAAGGCTAAACCCAGCAGCTAAGCACTCGTGGGCAATGAGAAGAACAGAAGGCGCAGGCTGTGCTAGCAGGCAGTCGTGGGGTGCAGGTCTTGATTAGTAGGGCAGCAGGCAGGGTCGAAGGAGAGGCCAGTAGGCAGGGTCACAGGAGAAGGCAGTTGGAAGGTGTTGAATGCAATGACTATTTAAGGTGGGTTAGTTGAAGAACCGTTTTCAAACATCTTGAAGTTGTTTCTGGAGAGGCGATACATTTGTGCTTTGTGTCCAAAGGTGTATTTGTGGGGTTTGACGAACTCCAGTACTTGTGTCACGTGATGTGGTGGCTCACAGGCAAACTTGACAGTTCCAACACAAAGCCCCTTGTACAATTCAAAGCCCATCATAGTATCGCTGTTGGATGGAGATGTGAAGACTAGGGTGTTCCATTCTGTAGTACTGGTGTGGGTGTCTTCTTTGTCCTCTTCCTCGGAAGAGGATTCTGTAGACTGGTCTTCGTTGGTACTGGTAGGTGGCTGTGGTTGGTCAGGAGCAGTGGTGAGATGTGTTGATGGCTTGTCAGTTGGCTGAGAGTATGAAATATCGTTGGAAGAGGCTTGGGAGGCAATGAGTAGAAATGTCGTTGTTGTCGGTGGTTGAAGTCCTTTCAGCAGTTGGAGATGTATCAGGAACGGTGCAGTGAAGGTAGAGGTCAGCAGGTGCAGTGAAGTTTACGACGTTGAAGATAAGCTTGACGATGTCGGCAGTAGGTGTAGAGTCAGGCAAGTTGAAACTTGGCAAGTTGTTGAAGCGGAAGATTTCGTTTATTGTGGTGTTAAAAAAGTTCCAGGGTTGGCTGCACTTGCAAGATGTGCATACACCAAGCAATACAAAACTTTTGAAGGAGCGCCGTCTGGAAGTGAAGAAGAGGAGTTGCTGGTGGAGGATGTCTGTTTGGCTTTGAGAATCTTGGTGGCGTCGGACTGTAGTTTGGTGATGGCTGCAAAGAGCAGAGATTTTGTGCTGTTTATCAGGTTCTCTTGGATTTTCTTAGCGCTGATTTTCTTCCTTAATGGGCATTTTGCTGAAGGAGTACAATGGTTACTCTTGGAGTTGAGGAATGTTGGAGTATTAGTGGTAGTGTAGAACCTGAAGTCATCTCCCTCACTTCCGCAGTTTGAACAAAACTTTCTGTCCTTGATGGGACAATCCTTGGTGAGCCAGTGCGCCTCATTACCCGCACTTATATGTTAAGGGTAAAAAGGGACCTACTTTTTTTCCTCCCTCTCTCCTTCCCCGATATATGACAAATAGGAGGATACATTTCTCGGATCGAGCAGCGACTGAAATACATCCAGCTTGAATTGTGATGGTCACGCGCTAATAATAAAAATATAAATACTAAATAATAATATTTCTACAAGTACATGATACAACTATTACAGACCTAGCCGACATCACTGCCATACTATATAGACAGCCCATGCTTATGCACAGCAATTCAGGCAGCTTAGGTTCATCTTGTCCTCCAGAATGCCACCCATAATAGTCGACTAACACCCAGGTACGTACTTACTGCTATGTGAACAGGGGCAACAGGTGTAAGGAAACATGACCAACGTTTCACTCGTACTAGGATCGATCCCCGGACTTCAGTGTGACCTGAGGACGCTACCAACTACGTCACTAACACCCGCATTTTCGACACGACAGCTACTGAATGAATAAAAAGAATGCTAGTGATTGTATTTCCTGTTTTTGGTTCATTCTTCCTCGGTGGGAGACGGCCGTTGGGGTAAAAACAATACATTGTTAGACCAAACTTTAGCTCTCATATTACATCAAACAGGATGAGTTGTATGCACGAGGTAATAAAATGTGTCAGCCTCAGGTGGAAGACTTCAATAGGGCCATCAGGATGACGTCAAGTAATCATCTATCTATGACAGCTCTAAAGATTTCGCTCCGACTGGACTGGAATTCTTACTGTTACGTAGGAATTACCCAGAGTCGTGAAAAGGAAGTAAAAGATAAGAAGTAAGATATATGAACCAAAGAGAAGAAGCCGTGTTAATGAAAGAACAGAACAGTAAGTAGTCTTTCTTTAAACAGACAGTTCGAAGGTAAGCAAAATTATTTTATGTAAATTTACGTTAATTTTGCATTTATTTTTGAAATGCAAGTTATAGCACACATACAGATGCACACGGTCAACAACTCAAAAGAAAAAAATCCTAAGTAATACTGACAGCACATTACTGTTAAAAGCCAATTAAGTGTAATTTTATAGTAGTATATTACGATTATGAGTCTTGAGATGAATCTAGGAGATAAAGCAGTAGTTTTACAAAGAACAGGTTAAGGTTGAGCTTCCAGCAGTATATGTAATAATAGACAAACCTCCTTCAAAACCATGTTCACCTGACACACAGTCCATCACTAAATGGCTATAATGACGATCCATCATCTCACAGGTGAATGCAAGAAACATAACAATGGAGAGGTTATCTTGGCTCTCCACAACAACACTGTTACACATGTCTAGGAAAACATTTTCATTCATTCTGGCTGATATGCCGTTTTCAAGAGACCGACACAAGCGATATTATCCGTACTCATTTCAGAAATTTTAATGACGTGAAAAGTAACGCACGCACATAGTCAGGAAATAAGTCGTGAGAAGAGAGGAAATTAATTAGGAACAATAATATTGAAATGACACCCACCCCTACAGTGGTCTTTACCATAAAAACCAGAGTTCTCCAAAACTAAGAGACAGAACAATAACACAGGCACAACAGGCGTTTGCTGTACAAATACCAAGATGGTAAGAAAATCAGCGATCTATAAACATGCTTACAAGAGCACAAATATTCATCAAGAATCAACGACACAATGCCTTCGTGGTTCATGGAAGCAACTCTCATACATCATGGTTGGGGGAAAACATGACTAATACTATGTAAAATTTCTAAAGCCAAAAGGTGTGTTGAAGCAGCCACCATTCACCTCACAGTCTACCCAACACAACATGGGAATGTATACATTGACACAGCAAGAAAAAAAAAAAACTTTCTTAACTCAATACCATAATCGTAAATCACCTCTCACATGATGTGACTTGACTTGACTTCCCCTCCATGATCTGGCCTTAGGATTCTTTATGAGTTATTTATATGGTAGTATTTGTGTACTTTACAAAGCCCAACAATGAACCAAATGTCATTAAATGTCTTAATCCGTTTTAATTTTATTCAACCTATGTTAAAACCTAAATTGGCCTATGGGGGTTGTGTCTTGTTGGCCGCAGTTAAAGGAAACATGCAGACAGCGTATTAAAACTTATAAGATTTCCATAAAGGCATTTACATTTGAAAAGTATAAATGATGGTAGATAGCTGCAAACAGTGAAGAAGTCCTCGTTGGCTAACAGGATGACAGTAAGAAACATGATAATTATATGCCATAAAAAAACATAAAATGAACAACAGATGACAGTTATAAACTGAAAAAAAATGGCAATAACGGATTTAGCCGGAGGAAGCAGGTGCTACAATAACTCGAAATTTAAATACACATTATATTAGTTTTGATAATAAATAAACATTATAGGCGAATAAATTACTGATTGTATTAGGCAGACAGTCGCACATACCAACCTGAGGACCTTGTACTGATGCCGTGAGGTGACAATGACGATAGGGATGGGTTCCTTCAGCAGCAGCGCCGGCTGTAAGGAGACACTTGGTAAGGATTGCGCTAAACAATTTATAAGTACCATAATGTGCTAGGAGACAGTACAAAATGTAGTGAGACCCCACACTAGACTAGAATAGCAAAACTTCATAATTTAGTTAAGTGTAAATCCTATATCGACTGCTTGAGAGCCATTAAGGCTGCAACTCTGTATCAACACTAACATCAAGAATCCATAAAATAGGGATTATATGAACATTGTGTATATTATTATTATTATTTTAATCAAAAAGAAGCGCTAAGCCACAAGGACCTTGTGTATAGAAGAGTACACAAACTTCCCTTGCAATTATCTCTATTCGTGTTCTTGTTTCTCGCCCTATGTTCTTGTATTCATTGGTTTTTCCCGTCAAGAGTGTCGGTGGTGGCAACGTGATGCTTTTTTTTCCCCCCACCCGTTGCAGTGGTGGGTCATATGACTAAGACCCGCGTCAGGAAACACTTGCCCTGTTTCCTGACGAATCTTACATGACCTAACCCGATGAAGGTCCATTCTGTCTCCAGTTTGTTGGTGACGGTCAATCAGTGAAGTCCAAAATTCTCAACTAATCACAGGAGGCCATGATGTGACAACCCACAGGAGGCCATGATGTGACAACCCACAGGAGGCCATGATGTGACAACCCACAGGAGGCCATGATGTGACAACCCACAATCCTGAACCGAAGTGTAACCGTAGCCTGCACGCAGCGCCACAACATTACCACCTGCAGGGCCCTATCATGTTCCTTGAAGGCCATAGATACTTAACGTGTTAGTCATGGAGTATAATACCGACAAGTTGATGAACAAAACAAGTGCAACACTTGGGCACAAGACACACATGCAATGTGGTTATAATTAACTCCGAAATTTGTTCCGTAGGCCCTTTGGTGGACGCATTTTCGTAGATATATCGATTTCTATGGGCAGACAGCTGGTCAAAATGGACTCAACATTAATGAGGATAATAGCGAACCTTGTGAAAATGTTGATCTTGAGTGAGAATCATACTCTCACATGGAGGGTGGATTATGTGATGAGGAAGCCAGTGTTCCTCTGGAAGTAGATGTGGGAGGAAAAAAATCAACTTCCGTGACTGGAACAATATATAATTAATCCTCACGTAGGAGACAAACTTATGACTTATGTCTTCTGAATACAACATACAGGGTTATAAACTATTCCACACTGATAGGGTCAATAGGAAGGGTGGTGGAGTGGCGATGTATGTCAGAGAAAATTTTAATTGTCTTAGACATTATATAAGATTAGAAACATCGAACACAATCTGTTTGGCTACAGTTTCTCGAGGGACGTGACAAATTAATTTTGGGTGTGATTTATAGGCCCCCAAACCTTGACAGGGAGTGCAGTAAGCTGTTACGGGACGAAATTCATAAGGCATCTAGATATGAAAATGTTGTGATAATGGAAGATTTTAACTTTAGACAAATTGATTGAAACAATATGACAGGAAATCTTGAGTCTAGTGACTTTCCTGATACGGTTCAGGATTGCTTTTTAGAACAGGTTGTGACAGAACCAACTAGAGGAAACAATCTGCTTGACTTGGTTCTTGCCAACAAAGATTCACTAATTAATAATCTTGAGGTTAATAACAAAAAAAGGCACAATACCGTGACTGGAACGATACACAAATAACTCGCACGTAGAAGAGAGGAGCTTACGACGACGTTTCGGTCCGACTTGGACCATTTACAAAGTCACACCAACGAGAAGTAGAGCAGGACGGGTATATATATATATATTAGTAGTAGTAGTAGTAGTAGTAGTAATGGGGAAGTAAGGAGGAGGAGGAGCCAGTCAAATACAAAGAAAGGGGAGCACTGCAAGGGAGCTAGGTGCCCACAGAGGGAGAGCAAGAACAGAGGTGGGGGGAGGTGAAATAATGAAATAAATAATGAAGGAACAGAAACACAAGACAGAAGAAAGAAAGACAACCCAGAAGAGAAAAAAGGAAAGAGGAAAAGGAAAGAGGAAAGGGAAAGAGGGAGAAGAAGAAAAAAGGAGGAATCAGGTTAAGTCACGGGTGTTCTGAAGTTTGGAGCATTTTACAATGTAGTGGGAGAGGAAGGCATCTACAGAGACGAAGCCAGGACTAAGATTCATACAAGGAAAGTTGTGTATTAGGGAGGATTCAACCAAACGGCGACTGTTCGAGTTGGAAGTAGGGAAGACAGTTTTAGCAGAAGACCAGTCAATAGGATGGCTGTGATCTCTGACGTGACAGAAAAGAGCATTGTTAGTGTTTACCTGGAGTTTACCTGGAGAGAGTTTCGGGGGTCAACGCCCCCGCGGCCCGGTCTGTGACCAGGCCTGGTGGATCAGCGCCTGATCAACCAGGCTGTTGCTGCTGGCTGCACGCAAACCAACGTACGAGCCACAGCCCGGCTGATCAGGAACTGACTTTAGGTGCTTGTCCAGTGCCAGCTTGAAGACTGCCAGGGGTCTGTTGGTAATCCCCCTTATGTGTGCTGGGAGGCAGTTGAACAGTCTCGGGCCCCTGACACTTATTGTATGGTCTCTTAACGTGCTAGTGACACCCCTGCTTTTCATTGGGGGGATGGTGCATCGTCTGCCAAGTCTTTTGCTTTCGTAGTGAGTGATTTTCGTGTGCAAGTTCGGTACTAGTCCCTCTAGGATTTTCCAGGTGTATATAATCATGTATCTCTCCCGCCTGCGTTCCAGGGAATACAGGTTTAGGAACCTCAAGCGCTCCCAGTAATTGAGGTGTTTTATCTCCTCGGCAAGTCTTTCTGACAGACTTAGGGAGCACAAAAATAGTGTTAGGCCTTCCTCTCCCACTACATTGTAAAATGCTCCAAACTTCATAACACCCGTGACTTAATCTGATTCCTACTTTTTTCTTCTTCTCCCTCTTTCCCTTTCCTCTTTCCTTTTTTCTCTTCTGGGTTGTCTTTCTTTCTTCTGTCTTGTGTTTCTGTTCCTTCATTATTTATTTCATTATTTCCCCTCCCCCCACCTCTGTGTTCTTGCTCTCCCTCTGTGGGTACCTAGCTCCCTTGTAGTGTTCCCCTTTCTTTGTATTTGACTGGCTCCTCCTCCTTACTTCCCCATTACTACTTCCATCTCCGCCACTACTACTACCACTACTACTACTACCACTACCTCTTCGTGCCTATATATACCCGTCCTGCTCTACTTTGTAAATGGTCCAAGTCGGACCGAAACGTCGTCGTAAGCTCCTCTCTTCTATGTGTGGGTTACTTGAGGTCAATGATGAGCTTGGGGAAAGTGATCACAAATCACTTAGTTTCAATATATCACGGAATTACCCAAATAACTGCAATCAAATCTGTCCCAGATTTTCACTTGGCCGACTTCATGGGACTGAAAAATTACCTGGGTGGGCTAAATTGGGATGTCCTGACTATGGGTCAGGTAGGTGATCTTGGTTGCCAATATGACGTTTTTCAGAGCATAGTTCTAGCTGCCCAGACAACTTTTGTTCCAAGTAGGGAAATTAGATCTAACAAAAATGATCCCAAATGGATGAACAATAGATTAAAACATCTCATTGGTCAAAAGAGAGGCATATACAGGCGTATCAAAAGAGGGGATGGGCAGTTAAGAAATCAATATATTCAATTAAAGAGAGAAATAAAGAAAGGAATAAGAAAAGCAAAAAGGGATTATGAGGCTAAGGTCGCAGCAAGGGATTCAAAGACTAACCCAAAAGGGTTCTTTCAGATATACAGAAGTAAGATTAGGGACAAGATTGGCCCACTTAAGAGTAACTCTGGTCAGATCACTGACAGTGAATAGGATATGTGAGAAATTCTCAATACCTACTTCCTCTCAGTTTTCACCCAGGAAAATACTAGCGATATTCCTGAAATAATAGATTATGTAGAACAGGATAATAATAAACTATGCACAATTGCGGCAACTAGTGACATGGTCCTCAGACAAATAGAGAAACTAAAACTTAACAAATCCCCAGGTCCTGATGAACTGTTTGCAAGGGTGTTAAAGGAATGTAAAGAGGAAGTTAGCATACCTTTGGCTAATCTTTTTAACATATCACTACAAACTGGCATAGTGCCTGATAAGTGGAAAATGGCAAATGTAATACCTATTTACAAGGCAGGTGACAGGTCCTTGGCTTCGAACTATAGACCAACAAGCCTTACCTCTATAGCGGGAAAATTTATGGAATCAATAATTGCCGAAGCAATTCGTAGCCATCTTGATAGGCACAGATTGATTAGTGAATCTCAACACGGTTTTACAAAGGGGCGTTCCTGTCTTACGAATTTACTAACTTTTTTCACTAAGGTGTCTGAGGAGGTAGATCATGGTACTGAATACGATATTGTGTATATGGACTTCAGTAAGGCTTTCGACAGAGTTCCACACCAGAGGCTATTGAGGAAACTTAAGGCACACGGAATAGCAGGAGAAATTTTTTCCTGGGTAGAGGCATGGCTGACAAATAGGTAGCAGAGAGTTTGCATAAATGGGGGTTATTTGTGTATCAGTCTTCAAAGATAACATCAGATGGTTACTTTACTAGGACTAAAACTGTAAGTGATCCTGCACTCTGGAAGAAAAAGTCACCGTAGATTTGAGGTGCTAGTTTGCTGAAATCATCCCACTGCAGAGTATTAATGACTAACTTTTCAATGTCAGGCAGAAAATTTTGTGTAAAGAAGAGGTACGTAAACAAGGAAAAGTTGTGTAGGCACTTGGCAAACAGAATCTGTCGAGAGAGACTGGTAACTTGCTCACCTTCAACTGGTCAAGTGTACTGCCATGTGTCCAAACTATTTGGCAGCAACAAGTGTTTTAATCACTTTCAAATTGGTTTTGATGATTGGAGGAACACAAATACAGGATTACTGCTGATGAAGACATCAGATCACATCGAAGTACTCTCCATGATGCCGGAGCACAAATTTATAATTGGATACAGAACTACAGAAGGTGAAAGAAAGAGCTTATAAGCAATGCTCAGAGCTCAAATAGATGACAAGATGAACAGTACCTCTCTGTATGTTTGCACCGTTTCTGGAAACTGAGGGTGCACGGTAGTACACTGAAGCTGTTGAAAAAAATGCATGGGACATTAAGTCGATACAAAAAATGTTCTCCGATCAACCATGGAACAAGAATGCTCGTCTTACCATGTACTATTCTCTGTGAGAATAACATTGTGAAAAGCATTATTTAAAGATGTTATTCTGATTTGGCACTGAAAATACCTCGGAAAGTTCATCTCTAATGCTCATCTCCAATTCATCTCTTGCACTTCATTAAAAATATTCAAGAGATTTTTGTTACTTTTTAATATGCAAATAAAAAAAATCTAAATTTTTTCTTCAAGTCCTTTACTTTTTGTAGGCCCTGGACATAGTGCCTACTGGATAATACAGTCCTGCATAACACTGTCTTTATTTCTGCTATCAGTGACTATATCTAACATCAACGGTCATTTATAAATAATATTTTAAGGTTTAACATCCAATACACTCTCCAAGTGGAGGGAAGGCGGGGTAGGGGTCGGCCTAGGAAAGGTTGGAAGGCGGGGTAGGGGTCGGCCTAGGAAAGGTTGGAAGGAGGGCGAGGACGTGTGCGAGGGGCGTGGACTTCCAGCAGGCATGCGTGAGCGTATTTGATAGGAGTGAATGGAGACAAATGGTTTTTAATACTTACCGTGCTGTTGGAGTGTGAGCAAAGTAACATTTATGAAGGGATTCAGGGAAACCGGCAGGCCGGACTTGAGTCCTGGAGATGGGAAGTACAGTGCCTGCACTCTGAAGGAGGGGTGTTAATGTTGCAGTTTTATAAACTGTAGTGTAAAGCACCCTTCTGGCAAGACAGTGATGGAGTGAATGATGATGAAAGTTTATCTTTTTCGGGGCCACCCTGCCTTGGTGGGAATCGGCCGATGTGTTAATAAATATAAAAAATAACATCCTATAATTTATCTATGAAAATGTATATAAAACACTACTGTAAATCACGTTTCTTAAAAATGTGAAGCGAGTAAAATGATTTATATATACAATGTGATGATGGTTGTATAAATCACTTCTGAACATAGTAATGAAACGTGATATGTTTTAGCGAAGCATTACAAGAGGCATACATTTTAGGAAAGTTTTGTAAAAAATAAAGAAAAACATTTCAGCAAAACATTACAAAAACAGAGTTGACTTACAGCTAGATGAGGAGTGAGAGAGGATGGGTGTTGACACTGACAGAAGGCACCATAACCTTCATATTTCTGACAGAAGGCAGCACGTTGCTGCAGCTCTGGCAGGTTGTACCATCCACACCAGCGTCCTGCAATACTCACCATCATACAACCAGTACACCTTATTGGACAAAATTTATAGTTAGTTGGTAGTAAATTCCTTACAGTGGGATAATCAGCAAGTCCGGATAATAAGCACCTTCCTGGGCCCCATAATTTAGTGTTTCAAGAATAGGTCAGGTATGAGTTAATGTTACCACTCACGAAATATATCCTCAGTACAACTATAAACTGTGCTCTCATGTATTTATTATTTAGCTGCATAACAGATAACAAAGGTATACTGCATAACATAACAAGGGTATACTGCTTAACAGATAACAAAGGTATACTGCATAACATAACAAGGGTATACTGCTTAACAGATAACAAAGGTATACTGCATAACATAAGGGTATACTGCTTAACAGATAACAAAGGTATACTGCATAACATAAGGGTATACTGCTTAACAGATAACAAGGGTATACTGCATAACATAACAAGGGTATACTGCTTAACAGATAACAAGGGTATACTACATAACAGATAAGGTTATACTGCATAACATAACAAGGGTATAGCACATAACAGATAACAAGGGTATACTACATAACATAACAAGGGTATACTGCTTAACAGATAACAAGGGTATACTGCATAACAGATAAGGTTATACTGCATAACATAACAAGGGTATAGCACATAACAGATAACAAGGGTATACTACATAAGGGTATACTGCATACCAGATAAGGGTATACTGCATAACAGATAACAAGGGTATACTACATAACAGATAACAAGGGTATACTACATAACAGATAACAAGGGTATACTACAAAAAGGAATACTACATAACAGATAAGGGTATACTACATAACAAGGGTATAGTACATAAGGGTATACATAAGGGTATACTACGTAACAGGTATGGGTATACTACATAACAGATAACAAGGGTATAGCACATAAGGGTATACTACATTACAGATAAGGGAATACTACATAACAAGGGTATAGTACATAAGGGTATACATAAGGGTATACTACGTAACAGGTATGGGTATACTACATAACAGATAAGGGTATACTACATAACAGATAAGGGAATACTACATAACAGATAACAAGGGTATAGTACATAACAGATAAGGGTATAGTACATAACAGATAAGGGTATACTACATAACAGATAAGTATACTACGAAACAGGTAACAAGGGTATACTACATCACAGGTAACACGGGTATACTACATAAGGGTATACTACCTAACAGATAAGGGTATACTACATAACAGGTAACAAGGGTATATTACATCACAGGTAACAAGGGTATACTACATAAGGGTATACTACATAACAGATAAGGGTATACTATATAACAGGTAACAAGGGTATAGTACATAACAGGTAACAAGGGTATACTACATAACAGATAAGGGTATAGTACATAACAGGTAACAAGAGTATACTACATAACAGGTAACAAGGGTATACTACATAACAGATAAGGGTATACTACATAACAGGTAACAAGAGTATACTACATAACAGGTAACAAGGGTATACTACATAACAGGTAACAAGGGTATACTACATAACAGGTAACAAGGGTATACTACATAACAGGTAACAAGGGTATACTACATAACAGATAAGGGTATACTACATAACAGGTAACAAGAGTATACTACATAACAGGTAACAAGGGTATACTACATAACAGGTAACAAGGGTATACTACATAACAGGTAACAAGGGTATACTACATAACAGGTAACAAGGGTATTCTACATAACAGGTAACAAGGGTATTCTACATAACAGGTAACAAGGGTATACTACATAACAGGCAACAAGGGTATACTACATAACAGGCAACAAGGGTATACTACATAACAGGTAACAAGGGTATACTACATAACAGGTAATAAGGGTATTCTACATAACAGGCAACAAGGGTATACTACATAACAGGCAACAAGGGTATACTACATAACAGGTAACAAGGGTATTCTACATAACAGGTAACAAGGGTATTCTACATAACAGGTAACAAGGGTATACTACATAACAGATAAGGGTATACTACATAACAGGTAACAAGGGTATTCTACATAACAGGTAACAAGGGTATTCTACATAACAGGTAACAAGGGTATACTACATAACAGGTAACAAGGGTATACTACATAACAGGTAACAAGGGTATACTACATAACAGGTAACAAGGGTATACTACATAACAGGTGACAAGGGTATACTACATAACAGGTAACAAGGGTATACTACATAACAGGTAATAAGGGTATACTACATAACAGGTAACAAGGGTATACTACATAACAGGTAACAAGGGTATACTACATAACAGGTAATAAGGGTATACTACATAACAGGTAACAAGGGTATACTACATAACAGGTAACAAGGGTATACTACATAACAGGTAACAAGGGTATACTACATAACAGGTGACAAGGGTATACTACATAACAGGTAACAAGGGTATACTACATAACAGGTAACAAGGGTATACTACATAACAGGTAACAAGGGTATACTACATAACAGGTAACAAGGGTATACTACATAACAGGTAATAAGGGTATACTACATAACAGGTAACAAGGGTATACTACATAACAGGTAATAAGGGTATACTACATAACAGGTAACAAGGGTATACTACATAACAGGTAACAAGGGTATACTACATAACAGGTAACAAGGGTATACTACATAACAGGTAACAAGGGTATACTACATAACAGGTAATAAGGGTATACTACATAACAGGTAACAAGGGTATACTACATAACAGGTAACAAGGGTATACTACATAACAGGTAACAAGGGTATACTACATAACAGATAAGGAGACCAGACTACCTATGCTAAAATATTTATATAAGTGTGTAAGCCTCAGTGAATATTAACAAACATTAAGTTTCACCACTGCATGGTAATAGGCTGGATGATTTCATTAGTCATAAGTCAGAAATGTTGAAGGTTCGTACGGTTGCAAAATTAGCAGCAAATCATATGTGAATCTGTAAATTACTTTCAGTTAATAAAATAAACCTTGATTAGAGGTGGGATTTTCAGATGTTTTTTTTTGTACTTAGCAAATCAAAACTGTAATTGCACATTGTAACCTTTGCAAATATATAAAATCTTTATCTTTTAGGCATGCATGCTGAACATATCAGAATGTAATAATGTATCATCAGCCATCAGGAGGTAGTTGGTAGACAGTAATAATCCAGGGAACTACTACAGTGTCATGCCAGTGTGAAACAGGTGGGAATGATTCGTTTAGAGAAAGACTTGCCTTGTATGGGCCAATAGGCTTACTCCATTCTTATGTTCTTATGAACATGTAAAATGGCAAATAATTCTTACAATGTTCTATTTACACTCAATGTTGATTCTTCACTATGGTGAGTGTTTCTTAATAGTTCTTATTCCTGTAGTGTTTAAGGTTGAGGAGGCTTGGTCCAAGACTAGGCAGCGGGGAAGATGATTCCCTCAACTATTAGCAAATAAACTGACAACCTAACGTTAGCCCAACCTAACAGTTGTCCGAGTGAGACACTGAGAAACCCCTCCATGAGGCGACCATTAAGTTCAGAGTCACAAGTGGACAGCTGTGAGAGCACTGTCCCCTATAAACAGCAGCGATGATAGAACGTAGCTAGAAGCCCGACTGCCGTGTGATCAACAGTGTTGTCAGTGATTTAGACAATAGGCGACGAGACAGATAACGTTGAGTGCAAAGGGCAACGGCACGTGAAGAAAGCCTCAGACTGCTTAGGAAGGAATTTGAGATCAAAGCAATGAGCAGGAAAATATAAAAACAATGTGAATAATAACAGCGAGAATTAAGTATTATTTTGCTATGAAAGTACTTGCTGACGGAAACAGTCGTCCTTCGATTTTACGATCTGGAAAAACACGAGGATATCCCACTCCACGGCCCCTCAAGGAAGGTTCCTTGACGTTGGTGAGGGGTTCTTGATGTAGGGAACTGGATCTGTGCTCCAGTTCCCTGAATTAAGCCTGAATACCTTCCACATCCCCTCCACAGGCGCTGCATAATCCTACGGGATTAGCGCTCCTCCTGATTATAATAATAATAATCCAACTCAACGGAGGATTCAAAAATTTTGGTGTATATAATGATATCACAGTGTGAAAGTAAATAATCAAGTAAGAGTGACCACGAGTGCAAATAAAAAAAAAGTGAGACTTGGAGAATAAGATACCAAAACAAAACAAAACAAAAAAAGACGATGTACACTAAGAGACTCACCAAGAGTCTGCTGGTACTGACTGAAGATATAATGACAAGCAACTACAACACTGTCAACTCTGATAAAGTTTTAAGAAATAATGGTTATCAAAATAAATGAAATAACAGAGATAATGAGCATCGCTGCCAACCTATAATGAAGGTATATCAGACCCCACGCCCAAGTTATCCACTGAATGATGAAAAGGCGCCACAGACGTATATGTAATCTTTGATGCTGAGTGACTGCCTAGTCAAGCAAGAATACTTTCAGACGCATAATATAATATACCTGGTTTCTAATGTCTATTTAGGTAAGCCAAACAACACGGGGCATCAACGACAAAGTTACAATGAAGAGGTCGTTTACCACTTATCTCAAGCATGAGTCAGAGCATAGAGCAGTGTATTTTGTGAATAAAACTTAGTGTGTAGGATATTCCTTACGAGAAATGCACTTTCATTGTTTAGAGTATGAAGATAAGAGTACATTAGATTACTAAAGAGCATAGCCAGAGACAGGAAGAATAACTGTGTGAAGATTATATATATATATATATATAATATATATATATATATATATATATATATATATATATATATATATATATATATATAAACTAAAAGAGGAGGCAGTTAGGGTAAGATATAAACAGTTATTGGAGGATAGATGGGCTAATGAGAGTATAGGCAATGGGGTCGAAGAGGTATGGGGTAGGTTTAAAAATTTAGTGTTAGAGTGTTCAGCAGAAG